ACTCTTGTGATCCCAGTGACCACAGTCCAAACCTAAGTGTTTAGTTTTTTATGGAGGTTGAAACCTGTCAGACAATGACACACAAAGACATACTGGGTGACATACCACACTGTGAGTTTCCAAGATTTTCAGGGAGCGATAAATAACAATGGCATGGTATAAAAATCAGACTTCAAGGTTGATTTGATGCATGACTCAAAGTAGACAATTTAATCAGTGCTGTTTTTTGTGGGTTTCATTTAAGATTCCAGATTTGTATTTGTCACATGCAGTGAAATGCACTCAAACATCGCCCTTAAACATATAAATATGTAAAATAGAAATACGTAGAAACACAAAAATATAAGAAATATTAAGTTTACAGTGCAATAGTGTCATGCGCAGTGTAGTGTGTGCATCATGTATGTGAAAACAGTTATTGTTACAGTGTAGAGGGTGCTATGGTTAGGGTTAGTTCACATCCAAGAAAGAAGGAAGAAGCTTTCCCTGAGTCAGCCCAGCCTTTGCTGGGGTGCTGGAAGTCATTTATGTTCCTGTAAGCCCTTGCCATGCTCCCGGATGGATGGGAGAATTCTACCCATGATGCGCTTTGCGGGAGTCTTTGGTCATGCTCAGCACCATTCCTGTACCACAGGGGTGATCAGTGTACTGACTTGTCAATATGCTCTTCTTCACAGAAGAGAGAAAAGTCCTCATGATGTACAGAGAGACTTTGAATTTCTTTAGCTATCAGAGGTAGTAAAGGCTGGCAGTGTTGGCGGTCCAAGACAAAACCACAGAGAAATCCACGTCCAAGGTAAAATGGCCATTTATAAAACCAGTCAAGCTGAATTGAAAAAAATACAATAAAACAAGGTTAACAAGAAAATAATAGTCATGCTGACAAATTTAGATTTTTGTGCCCAGTCTTAGTGCCCCTCCTATCTCTTTGCCATACATAAGTATTATTTTTAGGGGGAAAAAAAAATTTGCTGTCTTTGAACAGTCAAAAATATTTCTCTCTATCTCTCTTTCCTGAGGGAAAATAAGTAGAGGCTGCCCAGCAGCATGCTTTAAATAGGCTCTCCTGACACCAACTTTGTGGATGTGGTTTCAAGCATTAAAATTGACTCCACTCCATCTTCTTCCTGATGGTCTTGTTTACTCTTGTGGGCCATAAAAAGGCATCAGGAATAATTTCAGTATATTATGTGCTGTGGTATTCACTTCCTGAAAAAACTTTTTTCTTTCTCTTTTTGTTTTTTTTTTAGTTTTTTCTTGTTTTTTTGTCCTGGTGCTCAGACTGCACAAAAGTAATAATATTTGGATATTATAATATTTGTGTATTTTTTTCATGGCCTGTTGATCTCGATTCTGTTAAGAAAAACAAGTAAATCTTACATTATGTTACAATGTATCGATCTTTAATCTCTGCAGTATTTTCCAGAGCCCTAGAGCTTCTTAATATTCTGTTGTTAGTACATGTTATTATTGTTTGTACACAAGATAATAGCTTTTGCACACAAGCTACTAATTGCACACGACATTATGTTATGTGCTCAACAAATTATAAATTGTGTGTTAAAAAGATCTACTTGCCCAAGTGATTAATTCAAGAAATAGGAATGAAAATATATCGAAATAATAATCCCTGTAATGCATGCAACTGAGACAGACAGGACACAATACAGGAAGGAAAGCAAACATGTTCAACTGACATCAGCGGATCCTAAAATAAATTGAGCAACATGAAGATGAATTTAAAGTCAAGCACTGTGAACTACAACGTAAACACATTGTTACAGCTAGACAAGTTGGAGAGGAGAAGGAGACAATAAGAGGTGAAACAACAAACAGAAAAGTTTCATTCAAAATCTGAAGAAGCTGAAACAGTAGAGAAAAACACACCGCGATGTAAAGATAGAGGAAATAAGAAATCGGAGGGATAAAAGACATGAAACAGCAAAGGGTAGCGTGCATGGCGTGCGTGTGTGTGTGTGTGTGTGAGAGAGAGAGAGAGAGAGAGAGAGAGGGAGAGATCCTGCATGAGCTGTGTGGAGCGCAGGCTGCATGGCTGAGCAATTCCTGTCCAGTTGGCTGGTTGTCTGTGAGTGTGTACGGTAGGGGGTCCCAGAGCGAGCTTTGATCATTACAGAGTGTGACAGAAGAGTTCTGACAGAGAGGTAACCCCCCAACCCAACACACACACACACACACACACACACACACACACACACACACACACACACACACACACACACACACATGTAACAGTAACCAAACCACCATGACCACTAATGTTACTCCAAAACAGACAGAAGTGGGCGTTTGGCAGAAGGTGGATCTAAAGTCAGTTCACCTGCTTTTATAGCTACTACTACAAATCACATGAACTGCATCACTTAATCATCTTGCTTCATCTGACTGATTTTATCTTTAAAGACCCAGTCTGAAGAAAATTGTGTTTTTCTTGTTGTTTACATTTTCATATGGCATTTTTCTGATGCTACAGGACAAATCATGATAAAAAGGCGCGTGAAATTGCATTTCTGAGTATTTATGCATATTGCTGTGAACCTATGTCAGGCCCAAACATCAGGATCAGATACAGTAAGATTTCCTACATAACCAATCCAAGCTCCACCCCCAGAGCCCCTCTATGCAGGCCAGGCTCGGAGAAATGGAGAGGACAATTATGAAACAAGCATCTGCATTAGCATATTGAAACGCTCATAAGAAAGTTAATTATGATATTAACTTTTATCATGTCCCTGAAGACATTAGTGTCTGAGAGCTGAATAGCTCCTATGTTACCTGTTTCTTCTACTACACCAGCAATGTTAGGCTGCAAGCTAACTTGAGGAACAGTGTGCAGAGCAGCGCTATCTCCACCCACGACTCAGAGGTGAATTGCTAATGAGCTACTGGAGTTCTGCAGAAGAAAAGACCAAGAAAATGACACAGGTAACGTGATTTTGGCTGAAAATTTCATAATAACAGTTTAAACACCACTGAGAACACTTTAAGTAGTGAAAAAAAAAAAACAATCAGAGTGGGACTTCGAAGTCTAAACTGTGAACAATCATATTTAATTTTTCAGTGCTGGTAAGGAGCAATACACTGGGGGCAATATCTTGTCATGTATCTTGACAGTGTTACACATACAAAATATAACATCTGTACAAGCTAGAGCAGAAATTTGGAGGCAAGTAGTGGCGTTAATTAATCAAGTAACCAATTAAGTTTGATTGAGCACCAATTTATAAAAAAAGGAAAACACTTTCACATTCAAAGTAGGTCTAAACCTATTATTTACAGGGAGGTAGCATCACAAGTGGTAGCAGGGAAAACCTTTCTTTGAACAGGCAGAAACAACTATCTGCTCCAGTGTTGGGCTTTGAGGTGGAATAGGAGGAGATGCAGGAAGAAAGAAATGGATAGAAAGAAACAACAAGAGCAATAAATAAAACTGATTTATGGCTTCAGTGTCAGTAATAATGGTAGAAGTTAGGGCTGTTGCAAGGCACCAGTATTGACCACAATCGTCTATGCTAAAAATAAGCAAATGGTAATACCATGTTATTTAATTTAAAGAAACAATGCTTTCTCAAAATAGAATTTTCAACCTACTTTGAAAAGTTCAGAGCAGGTCTGCCCCCCTAGACTAAATTGCATAAACCTGGGTAATCTGACTGATTGTGGTCATTTCACTGCTTTCTGTTTGGAAAGCAGCAATACAGAAGATACAAAGTGAAAATCAGCAAATAAATTGGACCATAACTTAAGTAAAATAATAATAAAGTCATAATCAGAAAAATGCGAGTTTTTTGAGTTTATGCAGCAGTTGGGTTTCCTGTGTTCCTCTCCTCTGTGTGTGTTCTCCCTCTCTTTCTCTCTCTCTCTCTCTCTCTCTCCCCGCAGCGCTGGAGGCAGAGCGGAAGGCGGGGCTGGCCTGGACGGATTGCACACACCTGATTCTCGTTGTTGTCAATTACCTGGCTTTATATGCCAGCTCCTCTGTCGACTCAGGGCCGGATGATTTCTCAGTCATGCAACACGTGTCTTGCCACACCAAGCTTCCTGATCTCCCGCCCGTGTATCCAGCCTGCCTCTCAGTGTTAGTTCGTGAGTTCTTTTGTTACTCTCCAGAGAGTTTTTTCCCTTGACCAAAGGTGATTTTGTGTTCGTGTTTTTTCCTCCAGTTGAGAAGAGTGTTTGGTTTGCAATTTCTGTTGTACTTTGTCTTTTTACATCCTTAGTTGTCACTTGCCCCACGTGGCACTATCATTTGAACTTTGTTTTCACCAGCTATTTGCCTTGCTGCTGTGATTTTCATCTAACTCTGGTTTTGTGTCTTTTTTAGTGGCAGTCCGAGCCGACCGTGCCTTTTGCCGGAAACGGCGATTTTCTGTTGTTCACTTTGTTCCCTTGGTTTTTTGTAAATAAATTTTGGCATTTGCCTCTGCATTTTTGGATCCTGGCCTTTATTCGATTCCTGACAGAATCATCCGGCCAGAGAGTATGGATCCAGCAGAGGCTGAACAGTTAAGACACAACCTCACTCAAGGCGTGTTAGTAGGCAAACACGAGTCCACCCTCACGCAAATCATGGAACATTTGCAACAGCTCACTACCAGTGTCTCCCAGTTAAGAAGCGAGCTGGGGACCATGCGGGATCAGCCTCCTCACACTCCGCTCCTGCGCCTCCACCCGCCGAGCCATCTGCTGCCTCTCCCTCGTCAGCTAGGGAACCATTTATTCCCATCCCTCCCAGATACTCCGGGCATTTAGGTACATGCTCAGAATTGTTATTACAGTGCTCCTTGGTATTTAGCCAACAGCCAGCCAATTACGCTACCACACAATCAAAGATAGCTTTTATCATGAGTCTGTTGTCTGGTCAGGCTGCCTCCTGGGCCCTAGCTGTAACTACCAGGGGTTCAGAAATATTGACAGATTACACCCAATGCACAGGTGAAATGAAATGAATCTTTGATCACCTGGTACAGGGTAGAGAAGCTATGGGACAGTTATTAGACCTACGGCAGGAAAGTTTACCAGTCTCCCAGTACGCCATAAACTTCCGCATTCTGGTGGCCAGCAGTGGGTTTGGGGACACCGCTCTCCCAGCCATATTCCGCAAAGGGTTAACAGGAGAAATAAAAGACGAGTTGGCAGTATGGGAGGAGAGCTCCTCCCTAAACGAGCTAATAGAATTAAGCATACGCATAGATAATAGACTCAGAAAGAGACGGAGGGAGAGGAGAGCGGATCAGACTCGCCGGTCACCAGCTTCCAGTGTCTGCAGCCCAGGTGACTACGCCTCCTGGCCTGACGTCAGCCCGCACCTCGCTCCTGAACACCACTCACCTCCACCGGACGAGTCCATGCAGCTGGGTCGATCTCGCCTCACGCCAGCAGAACGGCAGTGGAGGATGCGAGAAAAGCTCTGCCTCTACTGCGGCTGCGGAGGTCACTACCTCGCTACCTGCACGGAGATGCCCAAAAGGCAGGGCTCGCCAGTAGGTCGGGGGGCACTGGTGAGCCGTATCTCTTCCTCCTCTTCCTCCCAGATCCGTGTTCAAGGTATGCTACACGAAACCCACCTATCACATGAGCTGCAGGTTCTCATTGACTCAAGGGGCTGATGACAACTTTATCGCCGATGTTGAAGCTAATCACCTGCCTGTTAGCCCTCTGACTTCACCCAAAGAAGTTCTAGCCATAGATGGATGACTCATAAACACTGTTACCCTCACTGTTTTGTGTCTTTTTTATTGGCAGTCCTAGCTGACGTGCTTTTTCTGTTGTTACTTTGTTCTATTGTTTATTGTAAACAAATTTGGGCATTTGCCTCTGCACTTTTGGATTCTGGCCTTTATTCGATTCCTAACAAACAAATCTGAATTTTAGAAAATGAAGTTACTGTTTGTTGATTTTTTATTTTTTTTTTTCAGGGGAAATTGTTAAGCCGCGTTCAGACCAAACATGACCTGAAGTGACCTAGTCGCGTTGGTCGCTGTATTCCCGTCGCGTCGCGCCCTGGTGTGTTCACACCGGGTCCAAAGCTGCAGTCTGTACATAGACTTTGCATAAGGAGTCGTTGCTCAGGTCGCCGAGGTCGCGTTTGGTCCGAACATGGCTTTACACAAGTGACAGTTCTCTGAATTCCTCTGACCTGATCGAAGCTTACCATGATGACAGTAATGAGAATGTGTAACAGTTAAAGGAGTGACCCTAAATACCAGTGACTTTCAGTCAAATGCTTATGTGCTTGTTGGTTTAAAGACTGAATATTGTGATCTAGCTAACATGATGTGAAAACACAAAACTCTGAGCCTCATAAAGAGTCATCTTAAAATGTTTTGCTTCAGCAAATTATTATTTTTGTTCATTGTATCTGTAAATTCTAAACGTTAACTAGGAAGTGTCTCTATACTAACATTAGTCATGATAGCAATGAGTTACCCATCCCAAGAATCATGTGACATGGCTAGCTTGGGACTTTGGTCTACTAAAGGCTTTACCATGTTTGTTACTTTTGTAGACTTTATGTAATGTTCTGCCATTGTAATGAAGTACTATTAGTGTAAGATATAAAGGTGCCGATAATTTTAAAAAGGATTTAAATTCTATTCAGTGCAGAGAAGCATATTCAGCACATAAAAGCATTCTTCGAAATTCCTGGATATATAAGTGATTCAGAAATTATTAAATTCACCAATCATTACAACAATACTCCCAAAATACCATGGACTGTTTTTTAATTCAACCAAGCCAACATAAATCCACCTTCTTGCAACAGTGCCAAGACAAAACTGTCCTATCACAGTAACTGAGGCAGCACCCTCAGACAGAACCAGATTCTTTGGTGACCACAAACCGATCTACACTCGTATGTCATTGTTGCCACAGTTAGATGTTTTTCTGCTTGTACTTGGAGCAACAAATACAGCTTCATGAAAGCTTAGGTGATGCAGTGTTCAGATAAGATATCCTGTTAAACTAAGAATTCATTCACACTGTGGCCTTTAAGCAGCTTTAGCAGACACACGGATTAGGGGTAATTAAATCTACCAGACATAGCTACTAATCATTTTATCAGCATCACCTGCACTGAGATAATGTTGAGCAGCTCATTTAAAAACCATGGCCATTAATATGCTGCTGCTACAGCAACAGCCTCCACTCCTCCGGTAAAGCTTCTCCCAAGATTTTGTAATCTGGCGGCAGGGATTTGTTCCCATTCAGCTGTAAGAGTATTAGAAGAGTCAGCCACTGTTATGTTGAACAAAAAAGGCCCAGTTTTCAGTCCCCAGTCTTCAAATTAACATTGATTCCTTGATATTGTCTCATGCTGACAAGTGACAACACAGTGATCACTTGAGTTTTTACCTTTACAGTTGTGTGTTATCACATATACCGAGTGTTCTCCATACCCATCAGGAACATGTGGTTAAAAGCTACACTTCCTACTCTGACATAAATCTAGTACATTTCTGTCTGCACTCTGAGGCCAAACTCAGACTATATTCAGAGCTGCTTCCATCCATCCATCACCTGATTTCCTTGTAATATGAGAGGTTACAGACTCTGTCTGAAATCTGTTGCAGAATAAGGCTTTGCCATAATTTAAAACAATCTTCAATGTTGAGGTTTATGCCTGTAGACTGCATATACTATGGACAACTTGGTTCCGCCAGTACACGGATTTCAGGCCAAAAAGCTCTCGGTAATTCTGCGTTTTTTCTCCATTTCCTGAAACCAACATTGCGCAGTAGTGTTGTACGCATCCAGTAGGAGAGTCATCGAGAGTCGTGTGATGACGCTCAGCTCAAACAGCGTATCCCCTGGGTGAGCTACGCAATCTCCATACGCCTACAGGCTATGTCAGGTGTCAATCAAAGAAAACTTGAACCTGCTAACTTTTAAAAACGGAGCTTCACAGAAAAAAGAGGACTAATAATTTGATATGAGGTGTATCTGGTTTTACCTGGCATTACTCTTGCTTTTCAACCTTACTCACTGTTCTTCTTTTCACTATCCAGAGTCAAGTTTTTAACACATCATAGGTAGAAACAGAACAACTGATACATCGAGAGCTTTGCCTTTCAGCTCAGCTCCCTTTTCACCACGACAGATCTGTGCACCTCAGCTCACTTTTTACCACAACAGATCGGTGCAACGTCCACATCATTGCTGACGCCACGCCAATCCGCATGTTGATCTCTCGCTCCATCCTTCCCTCACTTGTGGATAAGACCCTGAGATACTTCAAATCCTTCACTTAGGGGAGAATCTCATCCCCGACCTGGAGAGGGCACTCCACCTTTTTTGGGCTGAGAGCCATGGACTCAGATTTGGAGGTGCTGAGTCTCATCCCGGCCTCTTCACACTCAGTTGTGAACTTATTCAGTAAGAACTGAAGGGGATGGCCTGATGAAGCCAACACATACTGTATATTGTTGCTGTCTGATGAAAAACACGTATCTCCACTTTAAACGATCTGGACTTTTTTTCAATACATGTATGGTCCATAATCTTCCCTAACAACCCGTAGCTTTGGGTATCCAAATGACCAATGGAAAGACATTTTATAACATCATCTTTTCAACAAGTATCTCCATTGGGTGTCAGGAGTGTCAACAAAGCACATATCTCCTACCCTGGCCCTGCGTTGTCATGTCAGCAAACAGACTTTACACTGTGACAGACTCATTACAGTCCAGGGTAATGCTACACTAATGTCCTCACATCGACTGATGCCGACCTCAAACTTTGTTCTAACTGTGACAGTGTTGCTTACCTGTACATTAGATTTCTTGAGCTGAAGTTCATCCCTAGAGGCAAAGCTGCTGCTGTTTTCTCTCTTACACTCGTGGACACTAGTGCATGGTAAATTGGGAGTTTCGACTCAAAAAGGTTGAGAACCAGTGTGCAATGTGGAAATGCAGGATAGCCCACTATCAATAGTTTATCAACATATCAACATACACAGGATACTCAAAGCTCATGGACTGTAAGCTCATAAATAACTGAACATCATTGGCGCGTATTATTAAAAAAAACACAAATGTCCACCATCACTCACAATGAAAAGCACGTAAGGCTATTTAAAATATCAAACAGGTCACTGATTACTGTGTAAATATAGGTTTTGAATTCAGGTCCTAATTGTGTCTAATTACAGTGTTTTGGGTGTATTCTGTAAGGCAGTTTATGAACAAAATTCTTTTTTGATATTCCAGAAAAAAAACAACTAAAATATGTGTTTTTTTATTGGACAGCAACAATACATACCGCCTCACGATATGCAACATTTTTAGGTTTTAAATCCTGGTGATTACAGGCCAGCACCATCAAAAAACAGTGATAGAAGCTTAAAAGGAGAAAGAGCCTTCTTGCCTTCAGGTTAGCATAAACCAGCATAATGCTGTTGACAGATATGGAATCTGACAGTTTAAATCTCACCTCCAGTTTTCTTTGTGGCATAAAAAAAACTATGTTGTCCCATGCCTTTAACTCGTCCCGACCTGTTAAGGCTCTTGTGTTTTTCTTTACAAGAATAGCATCACTATAGCACATTGTTGCACATTGTCACATTGTCTGCCTTCCAGTAAGATCACAAGACCACACGCCAGATAAGATAGATAAAATAAACTTTATTGTCTTGTCTCAGGATTTGGTTCTTGCTGCATCTATAAAAAATTAACAGCACACAGCATATGGCACACAACATGATACCATACAATGAACGTACCGACGCACACGGTGCCACACAGAGTGTATAGCTTAACTTCAAATAAATAAGCTCACGTAAAAATTACTAAATATCAGTGATTGCCAACAACTCTGAAAAATAAATAATCAATTTAAAACATTAAGCAACATAAAGTGCTCCCTGTAGCAGTGGGGAAAAAAAGCAAAACAACTTAATCTAGACAGTCTTTGATCATAGGATATCACAGACTATGATGCTCTCTCAGCTGTGGTTTTCACTAAAATATTGATAAAAGTCTATAAAATTTATTTAAGACTCATTATCAAATGTTGTTGTGTAGTGTGCATGTTTACTACAGCCACATGTTTCACCATATGTGTGAGATGTAAACCTATTAGTTGTAATTTCGGTACTTCTGCAGTCTGGCCCAGGGCAACATTTTTAGTTAAATCAGGTAAAAAAAAAAAACATGCACAGAAACCTCGAGAAAAATTCAAAAACAAAATAGTGGCCAAAAAAGGAAATGGAATAATGCTCCTAAAAATGACTGAAAACTAAAATCAATGAGAGTACAAAACCCAATTCCATTGAAGTTGGGAAATTGTGATAAACGTAAATAAAAACAGAATACAATGATTTGCAAATCCTTTTCAACCGATATTCAATGGAATACACTACAAAGACAAGATATTTAATGTTTAAACTGATAAACTTTATTTTTTTTTTGCAAATAATAATTAACCTCAGAATTTTATGGCTGCAACATGTGTCAAAGTAGTTGGGACAGGGACATGTTTACCACTGTGTTACATCACCTCTCCTTTAAACAACTCTCAATAAACGTTTGGGAACTGAGGAGACTAATTGTTGCAGCTTTGAAGGTAGAATTCTTTCCTATTCTTGCTCGATGTACAGCTTCAGTGGTTC